TCTGTCACCCAAGTTTATTTTTAATTAACAAAAACCAGTGCAGCGAGCCAAAGCTGTGGCATGGGGCTCTGTGCTGTTGCATTTGTCTGGACATACAGTCACAAAATGCCTTTTTTTCAGTGTCTGCCCCTCAGATTCTCAGGTTCGAGAATATTCTGCCAGCTCTGTAAACCATGCAATGAGCCAAATATATCTAGCTTTTACAGGATTCAGTAGAGATATATTAGGAACAAGTTGTAGCCTGTAAGCAGATCAGGGATTCTATATCCATTTTAGGTATGTGCAAGACAGCTGAGCAACCGCTTACCGTGAAACATGGTGTAATAGTATCATTTTCTGAAGTGAACTCTGATGGCTATTCTAATCCTCTCAACCATGTTTGTGCATAGAAAACAATATTTTTAAGGTAGAACTGAAGTTTGTAAAATGCTTCTTAAAAGAGAGAGCAACCAATTCTTTGATGGTGGAGTATGAAGAACATGCACATGTAAATTATATGTTTCATAGACAGAAAAAATACTGTGCACACATGAGTCTTCTGAGAAGTGGTCAATAGCCTCAAATCTCCGCAAAGATTTTTCAGACCTAAACAGATTATCACAGCTCCCTCCAGCTACAGCAAAGCTTAGCCTCTCTTGATATGCTGGGTTGAGATGATACAATTTTTTCCAGCTCAGTCCCACACATCATTTTAATTTATTTCTAAATATGGGCAGGTACCAAAATATTCAACCTGCTCACTCAAAGATGCCACAGAGTAACCAACTGGTAATCCTACCCCCCGACACACAGAAACATGCGGGACCGGTATTTACTGCCCTAGCCAAAGACGTGCAGAATAACACAGGCTGGAATGAGTATCCATACATGAGAAACGATGACTCATTCTCAATCTGTGTTAATGTTCCCCATTGCAGAACCTTTACTCCATTAAGATCTGCTGCTGATAATGTAATACGCACTCCTGCAAAAAATGTTCACCCTTGCCCTGTGATAAGCCCTTAATTCCAGAAGTGCATAAGAGGAGTAAGGGACTGGGAACTCAGTAAGAGACACAGAAATCATTCCAATCTTCCTTTGCGCAGAATTTTAACAAGGGGCTCCCAAGAGTCCATTCTCATGTATGGATACTCATTCCAGCACATCACTGGATCTGTTTAGATGTTTCACAGGGTACAAGTTAAAAAAAATCCCAAACATTTAAATATAAAATACACCTGGGATCTACCTGCCTATGTAGGTTCTTATACAGTATCACTTATAGACTGGTACCAATCAGAGTCAGAGATGACCTTGCAAAGCCTGTTTTGCTTATGCACATGTACTGCTTTTTATGAATGTTCAAACCCAAAAAAGCAGAAAATCATGGACAACGTAAGCACTAAACCTCTAGCACAGGGGCAGGCAAACTTTTTGGCCTGAGGGCCACATCAGGTTTCTGAAATTGTATGGAGGGCTGGTTAGGGGGAGGCTGTGCCTCCCCAAACAGCCAGGTGTGGCCCGGCCCCTGCCCCCAATCCAACCCTTCCGCTTCTCATCCCCTGACGGCCCCCCCGGGACTCCTGCCCCATCTAACCCCCGCTGTTCCCTGTCCCCTGATGGCCCCGCCAGCACTCCTGCCCCATCTACCCCTCTCTTTCCCCTGACCACCCCCAGGCTCCTCGACAACCCCTCCTCTCATTCCTGACTGCCCCCCGGGGACCCCTGCCCCATCCAACCACCCCTTCTCCCTGAAAGTCCCTGGAACCCCAGCCCCTGACTGCCCCCCCCTGCTCCATCCAACCCCCTGCCCTCCTTCCTGACTGCCCCCCAGATCCCCTGTTCCCCGCCCTCTGACCATTCCAACCCTTATCCACACCCCCGCCCCCTGACCACCACCCCAAACTCCCCTGCCCTCTATCCAACCCCCACACCGAGCTGCCTGGAGCCCCGGTGGCTGGCGGTGCTACAGCCGCACCGCCCAGAGCACCAGGCCAGGCAGCCGCGCCGCCCGGCTGGAGCCAGCCACGCTGTCGTGCAGCACAGAGCACCGGGTCAGGCCGCGGCTCGGCACCTGCGCTGCCACCCAGAGCATTGCACTGGCGGCGCAGTGAGCTGAGGCTGTGGGGGAGGGGGAACTGCAGGGGAGGGGCTGGGGACTAGCCTCCCGGGCCAGGAGCTCAGGGGCCAGGCAGGAGGGTCCCGCAGGCCAGATGTGGCCCACGGGCCGTAATTTGCCCACCTCTGCTCTAGCAGATCCCAAGAAAGCTAGTATTCCTTTTTAGATTGCAGTCCACAGGGCTTCTCACTTCATGGATAACATACAAGTGGGAATGGGGGCCCGGGAACACTGAATTTTCACAGCATGCTACCGTTACAAAGACACTTGAGCTGAGTAATTTCAGGCTGTTTGTACTTTGCTGAGTGCTTAACAGCTATCAAAACAGCTCTTTCTTTCCCAGGGCAGGGTCCATTAACTGTACATGATTTTTCATATTGCCTCATTTGTTTATATGTAAAACAAGGAGGCAGAATTGGCTATACTTTATGAATATGTTACAGCTACTCATACAAAAGCACCCCAAAACCATATTCAAATTCAGAATGAAATCTCAGGTGAGGGTACCATGATAAAAGCTTTAGCTTTGTTATTGGGAGTCTTACACTTAAACTTGGAAAGATTCAATTTTTATTAGTAAATGTCAGTAAATTTTGATGTACACACACACCCTGATGAAAAAAATATTTCCATTAGTAATAATCCAAGTTTACAGCTCGGCAATGTTAGAAAGAAAAGTGCTGCTTGAGAACTTATTAGAGTTTGATTTAAGGATATTTCCTTTGTATATTTTGACACGTGATGTTGACAATTTGTGTTTTAACGGTTATAAGGCTTTAAATTTTTGAATCTCAATGCCTACAGTCATTAAATAACTATTGTCTGACACCCCTGCCCCAATTTACTGCAATATAAAATTGAAAAAAAAATTAAAATGCTTAAAAATATCAATATTATCCATCCAAATTATAAAAAAATAAAAATCAAATTCTGCCAAGCCTACTTATGGTATGTCTCAGTATATTACCAGCAGGCCACAGATGTGCACCAAGAGGAGCTTAAACTATTTTGTGACAGTGCTTGTGTATATACGTGGGAAGAAGTGGCACATATAGAAAGGCAGTGCTATGAGGTAGGGGGATTACTGTGAAGCTGGTTCAGTGTCCATATTTTGTTTGCCTCCTTAAGCACAAATGGTTCTATTATGTGGCCTGATCCAACGCCTATTGAAATCAATGGAAAGGCTCCTATGTCTTGAGGAGGCAAGAAGGGCTGCATCTGCCACAAATGTCAATGAGTGGCAGATGCAGCCCTATAGTGTGTACTTTTTTGTAATAGAACATAGTAGGAATACTTAGGCAGTTCATCTGTCCAAAATTTACCTAAAGGAAAATACAAGAAGAAAGCAGGAGGTCAGACTAGATGATCATGAGGTCCCTTCTGACCTTAAAGTCTATGAATTGGAGGTTACCAAGGGATGTGAGGAGGCCAAGACAAGGGAGGTAAGATGTGCTGCTGAGGAGCTGTAAGTGCTAAAGCAGGTAGAGAAATGACATTTTTCCTCATGAAAAATATAAATGAAAACAAAAGCTTTTTTTGGTCTGTTTCTGTTGAAAAATGTCTTTGAATTTAAGTCTCTCATAACCAAATGTAGATAGCACTTGCGAGTTTACAGCGCTAGGGCTTGATTGTGCTAGTGAGCGCTAGGCTCACTGTCTTGCATCTTGTGTAGTCATTTACACTAATGGAAACTTAGTCAAACTGGTGTAAAACAATATCAACTCAGAATAATAGCATTTTACATCCACTTTGCTCTCATGTAAGTGACTATGCAAGGTACTGGGCAAAGGAGAATCAGGCCCCTATTGTATTTTTCTCCTCTTGCTCTCAGCCCCTCATTTTGTATATTATATTGAGCTAAAGGAAAGCTTTGGTGACTAAATTGTGCCTCAGGGAAGTTTTCCCTTTACCTACCTGTTACTATACTTCTGCATTGTTATTTGAAATATTCTTTTCCTTAATCAGACCTTAATTATCCAAACAGAAAGGCAGACATGGGATTTATTCAGATAAGGGTGCTGAAAATTCCTTATTTTTCCTAAAATTGGGAAACGTGACTTCATTTCAGATGAAGACAGCTTTGGGGTAACTGACTTATAGAGGTTTATTTGTCAATTAGTAAATCATAAATAAAAGTAGAAAGGTTAGAAAGTAACTCTTTCCCATGGCCTTCATTTATTTCAATATTTCTGTAATGTAGTCCAAGCTTGTGGCAAAAATACCTGCCCTGCAAATACAGTACAGCATTGAACAACTTCATATTCTGAAGTCAAACTTGGTGGGATCATCTCTATATCTTACCAGGTAGATAATAACTATTGATTATTTATTTCCACACACAAGTGGAATAGTGCTTAGATTTGAGCTGGAGGACATTCAAACCAAGGGGTCGAACTAATAACAATTCAATTTCGACTTGCACTGGAAAGTGACTACATTGAGGAAGGAGTTATAGAAGTTCACTGCAATAGATTAAGACTGTTATCTTAGCTGCTCCAGGCAATTTCTTTTTAGGAAAGTGTAGTTTCAGATCCCTTTTACAGCAACTTCCATACAGGCCTGTAGCTGATATTCAGGTCAACCAGATTAAGTACAGCAAATTAAATTGGAGAATACCAACACGCTAGTTTAGTCATAGGTACTTTAACCACAGTGTTCCTCCTCATGCCAGGATACCCAGTAGCCAATCTGTAATACAATTCAGGATACCAAAGACCAAGAGTTGTTATGAAATAGTATTATGTGTCCTTTTTGAGGTGGGGAAAGGTTTAATAACTATTTTTCAGGACATCATTAATCATAATTACAAGACAAATTCACAATATAGTAACTGGTTTTATACTTCATTCTTCAGCTAATTACTTACTTAATGAAACACTGAATTAATCACCATGTTACCTACCCTCTAGGAAGTCCACCTTCTGAAGCCCTTCGTTTGAGACTTAATTTATGCATCTCAACCATTTCCTTTAGAGTCTCTGCTGAGTAAAGGCCAATGGGGTTGTTATACTGCCTTGCAGGGCTCAACTCGTGTTTAGGACTACTGCCATCAGTGAACACAGGGCTTAGTTTTGAACCTAGGTCACTCTTTGCAGGTGAAATGTCAGGTGTCACAGACAGAGAGGCCATGGAAGTTCTAACTGCAGTAGTCTTTAAGAAGGAAGAGCTATTTGAACAGCTGATCTCCTGCTTGCTGAGGTAGCCTGAAAACGTTCCATTGGTGGCTAATATACTACCCAAAGGCCCAGTCGCTGTGCTAGTTAGAGGACTGAAGATTGTTCTGTTGCCACTGACTTCCAAAGCAGGGTCCTGTAGTAGCAAACATGCAGGCCAAGAAAAGAAAAAAAGAGCAATCATAGAACACATGCAAAAAGAATATGTCTATATCTATCGCTTTCTGCATATATTCATACACTTGAGACAAATAGATTAGTGGCCAAGGTAGCCAGCCTTTCGATAAAACAGAACATTCAGTTGATCTTCTTTCAATAGGGTGGGACAACACACTCAAGCATTTTTTTTTAGTTGAAACATACAAGTTAAAATTTAATGTTATTAGCTGAAGATATAATTAGTTCTCATTTGATAGACTATATCTTCCATTCATTCCTATGATAATTAAGGAAATCTGAACTGTTTGAGGTCAGCCCCATTTGAGGCAATAATATACAAGTACAAAAATCTATGCTATTAGCTAGAAATGTAAGACCTAATGTTTCTGAAATCACAGCATTCAATTTCTCACAAACAGTCCTAAAATTAATGAAGTTCGTATACTGCATTGTTCTCATAGGCTCCAGGTCATGCTAATAAGGCCATGCAACATGGTTAGCAAGTAGGCTGAAAGAACTCAAGAAGGTGTATTAACCAACAGGTATAGTTTCTCTTTTATGCGTGTGCATAATTTCCATTTAAATGAATGGAAGTTAAACAGGCATAGAGCATGAAATTGCACCCTAGGAGTATAATTCCACATCTGTGATTTGGATGTTTTTTTCTAGCTAGGACACTATGGAATATTGTCTTTGTGAGGGTCTCAAGATGCCCTCCCAATATCAGACATATGCAAGAACTCCTGCTGGTGCCTCACATTAGAAGCACATCTTAACTTTCTAAAACCCACTCTAGAAAATAATAGGAAATTATGCGTTTTGTTAAATATAATGTCAATAAATGGTTTCCTACTAATGCTGCAAAGTACAGATTAAATAAGGTTAATACTGAAAACAGGAAATAATGACATTTTCAGTAACACATTCCACACAAAAAATAATCAGCAGATCATAAGAGAATTAGAACATAAACTATGAAAAGGACAATCTACCTCCTCTCCCTATTCCCTCCCACTCAAAAGTTTTAAGCTGGTGCTTGCTATGACCTAGATCAGCAGTTCTCAAACTGTGGGTCAGGACCACAAAGTGGGTCATGACCCTGGGGTTGCCAGGGCTGGCTTAGATGTGCTGGGGTTTGGGGCCAGAGCCAAAGCCCGAGATCCACCACCTGGGCCCGAAGCTAAAGCCTGAGCCCCACCACCTGGGGCTGAAGCTCAGGTTACAGGCTCCCTGAAGCCTGAGCCCCGCCACCTGGGTGGCAGGGCTCAGGTTACAGGCTCCCCGCTGGGGCTGAAGCCCTTGGGCTTCGGCTTTGGCCTCCCCACCCAGGGCGGTGGGACTTGGGCTTTGGCTTTGGCCACCCCACCCGGTGTGGCGAGGATTGGGCTTTGGCTCAGGCTTCGGTCCTCCCTCCTGGGGTCGTGTAGTAATTTTTGTTGTCAGAAGGGGATCGTGGTGCAATGAAGTTTGAGAACTCTAGATCACTGCCTTGTGCCCCTCAGTGCAAATTAACCCCAGGTGTAACTCCACATAAGTCAGTGGGAGTTGAGGGCAGCCCGCATTTCTCAGGACATACAGAGTACCTGACAGGATGGAATCTTTAGATCCAACTAAATTGCCTATATTTCCATCAAAGTAAATCATTGGCTCACTGTGGTGCATCATAACTAGGATATTGATTTTTGTATTTTCTTTAAGAAGTCTTTCTTTCTGCTAGAGGGAATGGCTGCAAGAAGATTAAAGATGAAGGATCTTACAGAGCAAGAGAAAGATGCTCTGTTTTAACTCTCATGAGCATTTTAAATTTATGTAGTCTCTTCGTTTTCTCCTTAATTTGAAATAAAAGACCATCTAGATCTTAAGAACATGGTTTTCCAATTTGTGTTTGGAAAACCTAATTCGTAAATCCACCACACCAGTGTTCAGCATGTCTGTGTCTTCATAATGCCCAACTTTTTGTGACCCGGTTTTGCTATTAAACCAAAGCTAGTTCCAATAAATCCATTCCCTTTCATCTTTTAGCCTGGTCAATACCGCAGCTCAATAGTTCAAACTCTCCTCTTGGAAGGTGTCTTTGTGAGACTTTTTTCTATGTTATGTTTTGGCAGCTCACTTGATAATGGAGTATCCAGGAGCAATCAGCATAATTATTATATATACTACCATAACACTTGGGAGCCCTAGGCATGGACCAGAACCCAACTGTGCTCGGCACACAGAACAAAAAGTGATTACAATCTTAAGTGCATGTACCTCTTGTAAAATGCTTCTACTATACTTAGATTGTAAGGAGAGTGGTCAGTTTGGATGAGCTATTGCCAGCAGGAGAGTGAGTTTGTGTGTGGTGTGGGGGGGGGGGGAGAAGACCTGGATTTGTGCTGGAAATGGCCCACCTTGATTATCATGCACATTGTAGGGAGAGTGGTCACTTTGGATAAGCTATTACCAGCAGGAGAGTGAGTTTTTGTGTGTGGTTTTGGATGAATTGGGAATTTGTGGATTTCTTAGGGTATATGTGATATCAACTTGCAATTTATCCCAGAAGCTTAGAGTCCTGACTTACAGCTAGTTTACACTGACCCTGATTCAGTGCTGTAGAGGGGGCACATTTTCCCCACCCCTGTGCATGTGGACACATAGAAGCCATAATTAATAACCACATTCTTGGAAGCATAAGATTGGAATGCCTGTCTGTGTTCCTGTCAGGACTCACATCCCAGGGGAGCGTATCTAAAAAGGGATGTACCTCATGCAGCAGCAAAGGCAAGAACACTGCTCCAGACTGGAGTTCAAGGCTAAACCTTTCAAAGGTCTTGAAGGAGCTGCTACTCAGCGTAAGTCCCTCAGTGACCCCTGGGGGCACTGTGCCCCATACCTATAATGGCTTGCAGGATCATATTTAGACATCCCAAATGTGCAACCCCACTGACTTCTATGGGGTTGCAGAGGGTGTAAGCCTGAGCAGAGTTTGGCCTTCAAAGTGAAATTTATAGAGTGGGTAACAATGTCACTGTCAATGAATATTAGTTACTCGCACAGGGTCTAATTATCCACTGTTATGCTGGCTTTCTGGTGTGACGCCATTGAAGCTATGGAAAATTATTATCTTAATAGCATATTTCAAACTACTGCTTTTTACATATTTTGTCCATTTTTTCTGAATGTATTTGTAATTAATCACACACTTCGGTCATTATGTTCTGACCTCAAAAAAAGTCTGCAAATAACCACTGGTAATTGCCTTTTACAGGTTTCCAAGTATCATTAAACAAATAAAAAACAGGATTTTCACCTAATATATATATATTTTTAAAGAGGGACAAATGCACAATCCTTTCTCAAATAATGAGTTACCAATTACATAGATGCTCTCCTTCTGAAAGCTGTACATCCTGGCAGGATGGAAAAATCAAGGTAAAACAAGTACAACAACAATAACAACAGAAGGAACAGACAGCATCTGATGGAGCTAGATCTGTAGGCTAACTAGAAAAAAACATTTTAGAATCAATGAAAATTTAATGTAGGACTCCTTCCCCTCACCTCTGATATAGGGAAGGGTACTGTGGGGGAAAAATATTAGGTGCTGGTAGCATGAGCTCTAGAAGAAAGCAACATTTTTAATCAATAAAAAGTAACCTAATAATATTTGGCAAAACTGTAGATTAAATAAAGGGAAGGTTATCGGAAAGGAAATATTTGTGGGTAAGGGGACAGAAAATGAAGGCTGGTGGGGTTGCCATCCTTTAGCTTTGGGGGGAATTTTGGTTACATTCCTCAAATATTTTCTAGCTAGGTTTCTTAACTGCATATTGGTATTGATTTATTGTAATAGCTCATTTTTGGCATAGGAAAACAGAACTATGTCTTACAATTTACACTGGAAATCTGGGGGCCATGTTAGCATTTGATGTTTTTAAAGTTAAGACTGTGGGAATTTTTGGAGACAAGGGGCAATTCGTGGGATAAAGCGGAGAGATGGGGATATGGACTTTCAGCATCAGTATAAATTTCCTAAAAGAACCATTTTCCACTGATCAGCTTATTTGGCTGTTTCCTCTCATGATTGATAAAGTACCTGTTACTTGGTTCATTCATAAGAGTATATTTTAGATTAAATTATTGTTCTGTTTGTTTCAATCTCGTGGCAAGAACATACCAGTGAAGGAAAAATGTATTGCACTTCTGAAATCTGAATGTCAGACTTTTAATAATGAACATCTTTTAGCACTATATCTAATGAAATTATAAGTACTCAGCAGTGACTAACATTTCCTTGTTCCCTATCTTCCCCCCATTCCACCTCATCAAATTATCCCTCTGGCTGGAAAAATGAACTAACATTTTCATCTATAAAAGTCTGATGCTACCTTTCTGTTGACCAGAAGAGGAGGCTCTAACACTGGGCATTGGCTTCCTCTCTAGAGAAAGGTTTCAGAGGAACAGCCCTGTTAGTCTGTATTCGCAAAAAGAAAAGGAGTACTTGTGGCACCTTAGAGACTAACCAATTTATTTGAGCATGAGCTTTTGTGAGCTACAGCTCACTTCATCAGATGAAGTGAGCTGTAGCTCACGAAAGCTCATGCTCAAATAAATTGGTTAGTCTCTAAGGTGCCACAAGTACTCCTTTTCTCTAGAGAAAGATCCTGTCACCTTGCTGAGATCCCTTGCTACGTGGAGAAGTCAGGCAGCTGGATTCTAATTTCCCAGTGTAACGGTGAGATAACACACATCAGTGGATGAGCTTAAACATGATTATATAGAGGAGAACACGGAACATTTGGGGGTAAAAGGAGTTTATTATGAAGCATTAGCTGAGCCCATTCTTTGTTCTTAGTAAAACATTTTTTTTTTTTTACTTTCTAATATTCGTCTAACTTCTCTAAGGACAGAACACTTCCCTTCACCTATGGGACAGGAAGGGAACCTCAACATGGGCACCGCTGGCTTCTAGAGTGGGAGATACCAAAACAGTATGCCAATTTGTCAACTTGCTCCACCTTCATTCTCACCCCAAAGAAGTCTCTTTATGGGCACTGTGTGGGGTTAGGTATGTGGGAGTGGGGAGGGATGGACCAGGATGAACAAGAGCTGACTGAATGAACATTAACTTGCATGGATTCATTCCATGGTGTGAACTTTGCTCTAGTACAAAGGTGGGACTCAAGGGGCATCTGGGTAGGGTGACCCACAACAGGGCACTGTGTTAATGCACTATTGAGACTGCACTGTTAAGCACTCAAGTTAGGAAGTATGATAGGTAATGTCAACTCTGACCTTACTATGCTCTGGGATACAGTCTTTAATTAGAATATTATACCAATTCTTTGCACGTCTACAGGAATGATTTCAGTTTTTAGAAACATGAATTAATTAATTTAGCCTTACAACACCCATATTAAGAAACTAGTTGTTACTATCACCACTTCACAGACAGGTGAACTGAGGCACAGAGAAATTAAGTGACTTGTCCAAAGTCACACAAGCAGTCTGTGGCACAGTCAGGAATAGAAGACAGATCTCCTGTTCTGTGCCTTATTCAACAAGACCATCATTCCTCCAACTATGATTGCTGGTTATTTTAGATACATGTTTATAGTGTTGTAGAATACACTATTCATAAACACAAGGAGGCTCAGATTCTGACTGGGACTCTTTGAGAGCTACAGTAATAGACATATTAATTAATAATTTTATAGTGTCTTATTTCATAAATAGTACAGAATGTGATCATATAGATAAACACTATATCATAATGCCTATATGCAAAAGGACAGAGTTAAGGCTATGTGTTGACCCTTATATTTCATATTTCTTTACTTGTAGATGCTTAACTATGAACCCTAATGTTGCATGAACAAAGAGCATTTATGAACCTTTAGTTCAATTCTCTGGAAGACTCCCCATCTCTCTTTCCTCCATTTTGAATGACTTCTAATCACAGATGTTCTCAGTCTTGGATATATCATTCTATTCTTTCAATATTTCATGCCTAGAGCTGCGCAAACAGCTTCATTGAACTCTCAAATGATTAATCTTGTTTTGAATTGTTTGGTAAGCAAAAAGTGTAAACTGTGATCCAATCAAACCTTTGTTCCCTTCAGCAGCCACGGAGCCCAGTTGATCTCACGTATCACACAACATTCACACAAAAAGCATCAGCTCAAAACACAGATTAGCTGAAGAAAATGAGGAGACAGTGGGCTTCACTGGGGATGCGGGAGCATTCCTATCAAACTGAAAAAAAACATGTTGAGTGTGTCTTTCAATAGGCTGAAGTTGCACCTAATATGAGTTCTTATACTAAAATATAATCAGCTGCTGACAGAAGTTGAAAAGAAATACATGCTTGCAAATGAGCAGAAATTACAACTGGGTCAGCAGAAATAACATGTATGGTTTATATCAGCCACTGAACTTGTCTGCGCATGCAAGAGTTCTTAGCTGCATGCATTATCCCTGACCCAGAAAGACTACCCTTACAGATGAGAGAACAGCTTGGCAATGACGGTTTTATAATGTAGCCACTTGCTCTCTGGGAGCTGAAATGAAATCAAACTAATTTCATATGGGCCACTGCAGTAGCCATCAGATTCTAACACTACCCACCTTAACTGGAGCTAGAGACCTAGCTCTGTGTCCCATTGACAGTCTCCCAAACCAGCCAGTCCCCCAGTGCTAAGGCTATTCTAAGATGGTTTTTAAAAAGTAACAAACTAACTTTATTTTAACAATATATTTACTTTAACATACCTGACCTCAACATACATGGAATCCTAGTTTACATCAGTAAGATTTTTTATACCATATTTGAGATCTCTGCTTTAGTGATTCAAGACATTCATGCTCCCACCATAATTCCCTCCCAATACATGCTTAAAGAGGACTCATTTCAGCTACTGAACTCATTGACCATTTCCCTCTGCATGAACCACACGTGATCTGGCATGCATCTACTGCAGTCCTCCTAGCCCAACATGAGAGAGACTGAACTCCCTCACAACCTCTGGATATACATCTGACCCCCAGTCACCTTGCTCTAAGACATGCATCATCATTCCCATCCCAACTGTCCAAGTCTCCCAGAATCCCTGAACAAGCACCCTAAGCTGACCTCCAACTGCCACTTTCTTTCCAGTATCACCTTGGACAAATACCATGACCCACCTCTGAGGTGTAAAACTCTCTCAGTCCTGCCAGAAATACTACCCCAACAACATTTCCACTCCTAGCTGCCACTAACCATACACCATACTCCCAGACAAGAGATCTAGCCAACTTGACCCACAGCTCTGAGAAATCTCCAGCACACTTGGAAATGGGATAGGACCCACATCCCAGCTCTTTGAAAAACCCCTAGCAAACACCAGAAATAATTCTACATCCAACCTACTCCCTTACCTATAGAATGTTCAGTTTTAAGGTGACATGTACCTAGAAACTAAATGTCTGTGCTTTGGCAATCTCAGACCATTAATTCCCATAACACTCTGAAGGGCTAAAACAGAAAATACAAGTTGAACTGACACTCCAGCAACTATATTAAAGATATCTTTATGACTTTTTTTAAACCAACAATATTTTAAAGAATTGATAATATGTATTTAACCTTCCCCCTCCCCTTCTTACATATTTACCAGATAGAAACACCTTTGGTAAGATAAGTGACTACTTAGGAGGTTTTTAAATTGACATTTGCCAGACATGGAGTATAGTTAATTACTGAGTTATCAAAATGTGATCTCTTGAAACTACAGCTTGCCCGTTAATGAGCAAGCTCTGGAGCTGTGCAGGTCTGTCACATCCATGCAGATGCTCCTGGGAGTCAGTGTGTCACGTAGAAGCCTTGGAGAAGATCCAGTACATGAAGAGATGAACAGTTTACAAGGTCACTCAGGCTGCTTTGGAGGCTAAAAATTCTCTGACAATTTCCTTTCAGGGAAATACAGAACAAAACACTCCCTACTGGGCTGGCAAAGTGGGAGACAGTTCTAAACAAAAGAATGGAACATTCTTCTTTTCCATGAAAATTCATAGTGATATTCCGTATTTCCCCTCCAATAACCTTCTGTCCCACAGAATTACATTCTCACCTGGTGAGCCCCATAATATTCTAGTATGAGAAGAGGCAGACATTTCCATCATCTGTCTGGATGAAGTAAATGGACATACACTTTGACACCTCTTCCTTTCCCTCAGTGCCCTCTGTACTCTTCAGAAAAAAATATATAAAGGGGAACAGCTCCCTGCAGGATACATTTTAATATTTCTTCTTTCCCTGCCCAAATACCCATAAGGCACTGACTTGACTCAAAAATGGCCAAGCAGGTTCCTTTCAAATTTTCAGAAAATTAATAAATAAATAAAAAGCCAAACATTTCGCCCCAAGTGGATATCTTCTATGTTAGTTTCAACATGTCAGCAGCTGCTGCAGGGAAGACACAAATCTCCTGAGCTCAGAATTTGGAATGCACAGTATTTATAAGAAATGTTTGAAGTTGACATGTACACTCTGTTATTGATTTGGGATCTGAAATGGTTTGTCTTGTTTCTTATTTTATGTCATTGGGTGTTTATGTGTGAAATTAGTCCTCACAGTGTAGGTAGGATTGACAATAGGGACTGCACTTCCCTGTTTATCCAATCAATAGGAATACAGCCTGGGCAATGGTAGTCCAAATTTCCTCCACACTGCTCTGCCAATGCACTACATAGAATCATAGAAGTGTAGGACTTGGAAGGGACCTCAATAGGTCATCTAGTTCAGTGCCCTGCACTCAAGGCAGGACTAAATAATAACTAGACCATTCCTGACAGGTGTTTGTCTAACCCATTCTTAAAAACCTCCAGTGATGGAGATTCCACAACTTTGCTAGGCAATTTGTTCCCGTGCTTAACCACACTGACAGTTAGAAAGTTTTCCTAATGTCCAATTTAAACCTCACTTGCCACAATTTAAGCCCATTGTTTCTTGTCCTATCCTCAGAGATTAACTAGAACAATTTTTCACTCTCCTCCTTGTAACAACCTTTTATGTACTTGAAAACTGTTATCATGTCCCCTCTGCATATCAGACCTGGAGGAATAACCTCTCATATCTAGGGATAGGAAGATACACAATTGCAGCTATTCATAGTCTCTGGCCACCCTACAGAGACTGCAGACACAGTCTAACTAGACAGCATATGCATATGCTAGCGGTGGTGATGGTTTTTGGACATCTATATCCTAGGAGATGGACTTAGTCCATGAAACCTGAGCTATCCACTTTCCTCATCATTCACTGTTCGTCTTTACATTAAGTTATCCTCTATTTTTTGGTGTGACGTTTATTAACTGACCTGACAAGAAGGCACAGCTACCAATAAAGCTTGTAAAATGCCCTAATGTCATCTAGTCTAGCCAAGTCAACACATTGTCAGGTTTAGTCAATTTTTAGCTGAGCTGAGCCATATGATAATTGGGTTTTTCCTCAAGTGCTTTGGGAAATGACTCTATATTTTGGGAAGCTTTGATAGGCTCAGCTACCTATGCCTAGAAGAGAACAGAATTAAAAAAATCAGAAATGCTCCAGGTGCTCGGAGAGGATTAGACCGGATAATGATTTATGTTTATGTGATTTATGTTAGAGTCAAATAACAAGAAGCACTAAAGAGATAATGTGTTACATACCTTCTGATGGGGAATTACAGGCCTGGGAGAGTCAACTTTAGGTGTAGCTGTTGGAACTGGAGCTGGGCGTTTAGATCTGGGGATCAAAACATTCCAAAAAAAGATTAATAGTCAGAACAACCTCACCTCCTATTTTTTTAGATCCTTTCGAACACCTTTTATATCGCACTGAAAAATTATCCTTTATCCAGAGTGAAAGCCATATGTAGAAAGCCATATCTAGCCTCTTGTCAAACACCAACCTTCTGTCTCCATCAATAGGCAAGATCTTCCCTTCTGCTTTTAGGGTAGGATTGCCAATTTTGGTTAGAATCATAGAATATCAGGGTTGGAAGGGACGTCAGGAGGTCATCTAGTCCAACCCCCTGCTCAAAGCAGGACCAATCCCCAATTTTTGCCCCAGATCCCTAAATGGCCCCCTCAAGGATTGAACTCACAACCCTGGGTTTAGGAGGCCAATGCTCAAACCACTGAGCTATCCCTGGACATAAAAATTGATCTTTAATGAAAGTTTAATTCCTGGAGACTCCAGGACAATGTTGGAGGGTTGGCAACCCTACTTTAGAGAGATCTTGGAAATCTGAATTAAACTTATAATTTTTAGCAATGCTGACAGGCCAAAATATTCAAAAGTGTCATGAGAGATGATTTTGGGAAGCTTCAATTTTTGGGTGCCTAGACCTAGATATATGGAGCCTGATTGTCTCGGTGCTGAGCACCCACAATTCTAGTTGAAGTCAGCCTAAGCTGGAAGTGCTCAGCACTTCTGATAATCAGGTCCACTGTGTCTTAAGATGCACATTCTAAACTTGAGGCATCTCAAAATCATAGGACACTTTTGTAAATTTTGACCTTCAGCATTATGTACGTGAACAGATTTTTGTTACTGACAGTTTAAATTAATGTAGTGCTTCTTCATACAATGCACAGTCAACTCTTTGCCTGAACTTGCTGTGAAGGCCAAGACTATAACAAGGTTCAAAAAAGAACTAGATAAATTCTTGGAGGATAGGTCCATCAATGACTATTAGCCAAGATAGGCAAGGATGATGTCCCTAGCCTCTGTTTGCCAGAAGCTGGAAATGGGCGACAGGGGATGGATCACTTGATGATTACCTGTTCTGTTCATTCCCTCTAAAGCACATGGCATTGGCCACTTCGGAGGACAGGACACTGGGCTAGATGGACCATTTGTCTGACCCAGTATGGCTGTTCTTATGCCATATTACAAATCCTCCTCTCTTCCTCAGAGAGAGACTGTGGGCTTCATTTTGGACAGTGCACAGTTCACACAAGAATTAAGGACCATCACAACCACACCACCTTCTGCTCCATCTGCAAGACACACTTTTTTGACCTGCCTTCTCTAACATAAACACAGAGCACCGTACATTTAAAAACAAAGCCCTACCAAAATAAAACTCCGCACTGCACACACACACACATTCTCCCCCTAAAGAGAGCATAGGAGAGAAAATGAACCACATTCAACAGATATTAATTATGCCACTTAATTAATTGCTGGAAGGTGTTCAGAAACTATGTAGAAAGGGGTGGTATAAGAACCTAGATAGGATAGAATAGAACAGCTCAGTGAAATCTTCTGCTCAATGAACAGTTGGTGGTCAAAAAATATAACAGAAAATTCTGGAGTGTGCCAAAGATGGAATAAAAAATAATACTGTACTGCCATTATATAGATCAGCATTATGTCCTCACGTGGAGTACTATGTGCTCCCTTATCCACTGAGTATCTTATCTGGTGCCCATGTGTGAACTATGAATGTTCGTTTCAGACTTAGTGAGCAGTGCAAACATTTTATGTCAATTGCAGAGATACAGCAAGCAGTCATAAACCACACACACATCCCTTTGAGGCTCCTCTGGAAAACATGTGTACTGTAGCAAAGGGATTCACTGGTTAAACTGCGCCATCACTTTCACCATTTATTCTCTTTTAGTTGCCACCTTACCATAATGGATGTCATTAACATGCTCTATCATCTGTTCCACACATTACTGAAATGCTTCATTTGTCATTCATAATGCTGCCCAGCTGAGGCTTTTCTTTCACATTAACTTTGCACAAGCTTTCAAAGGCACCAGCACCACATTAAAATAAAAAAGGCATCTAGATAACTCTGCACTCAACAACTACAGCTCTGGCGTTTATCAAAGAACACAAAGACTTGCTGGATTTAGCATAGTTGGAGCTGGACAGGTGGGATAGAAGAGGTGAAGTCCCTCAATGTAAACGAAAACTCATGCATTCACAGAGGGCCATTGTCCTTCAGAGAATGTCTAAATTCAGAGGCACTTTCTTCCTCAAACCCCTCATTGGATAGTCAAGTCCTAGTAATTACGTTCATGACTTGTTCTATTTTTTAAAGTGAATAAATTGCCATTGTACACTTGTGTGTTGAAGATGTGGGGGAAATTATTGTTGACCTGACCCTATCCCATTCTGCATCAAGATCTATGCACTATATGCAACATAGGCAAGAGCGGTAACGCAAGAGGCCTACAGGCCTGCATCCTGTAAGACTTAGCTTAAGCTAAGAGCATTTGCGTATGCTGGGCTGTGGCATTTGACCCAGATAACGGACTAGGCCAACCTCTAGCTAGAAAAGAGCCAAAGGGCCTAAAGTCCCTAGCTGTCCATAATATGCACCCCCCCCAACCCTGCAAAAGTCCCTTGACAAAACGCTGCCATGAGCAAACCGCAGATCTTGATAATAACGAAGTGCATCAGCACAGTGCTAATCATGAAACTGTTTTATTTTATCTCCTTATAAGGCCTTATTAACAATGCTTGAGTGATAAAAAAATAAGGAAATGTATCATTTGGCTTGGATTTGAAAACCTATATAAGACTGGTATTATAGGGGCAGGACAGAGAGAGACTAGGGTGGCACCTGTGTGTGACCATCTCTATCTCCTTCTCCCGGCATGCTTGTATTCAATAAAAGACCTCAGGCTGTTTGAAAAAAACAGATGGTGTGACTCATTTTCCACAATAAAGTCTAAAGTCTACTCCATCAATGGCAACATTATTTTATTCATAGTATTTCTTCTTACTTGTTCTATCACAGAATCACACAGAAAGAATGGGTCACATGTTTACAGTTTTTCTCTCCATGAGATGCACTAAAAACATGAGTTCAGTAGCTCTGGATCATTTATCCTTTGCTTTCACTTCTGCCATCAGGTTCAAGTGGGGGCCACAGACAAATCATTGAGAGATCAGTGTAGAAGGTGAAAGACTAAGTTATATTTTTGAAAAAAGTCTTTTTGGATTCCCAGATCAGTCAGGGTGATGTCATCTGCACAAGGAGGGATGCCAGTTTTGGTTGGACGTGTTCCTGGAGGTTTCATCACATGACATTAATCTTTAATTATTGGAGACTCCAGGACAATCATGGAGGGTTGGCAACCCTATGCACAAGGCCCTCAAAAGGGATCTGGGCAGCACAGTTGGACAAGGTGGCCTCCACATCTCCTATGTATAATTCATCTTAAAACAAAATTCCTCCTCCCTTTCATTTATAAATCCTGAGATAAGGATCCCAGGTTTCCATTGCAACTGCCATTGATGACATTGCAAACAACTAACAGAAAAGCGTAGGTATTGCTGGAAAAATGAATGCATTAAGAAATACTTGATGTGAAAGAACAATCTTATTCCCATCACCTAACAGGTCTTGTCCATCTCTACTGTCAAATGACTCCTCCTTTGCTTTAGGTAAGTTTGGAGTCTGCTTCAACTAATGCAAGGTGAACATCTTGCACTTAAGGCTTATCTGGAAAGTGAGGGAGGAACTGAACTGAGAATATTTAAAACAATTTCTATATGTCTTATGGCTCCCACGGGAGTGACACCAAGAGTCACTCTCGCCACCCCCATATTATGCTTTGTTTGCACTTTTCCACCTTTGCTTCCTCCAGGCCCTGCATTGCAGAAACAATTCTTTCTTTATGAAGGGAGGTGAATGGGAATTTCCCGAATAGCCCACTGGTGCCATCCTTACACTGGACTAAGGAGTAACTAGAGTGACATGAGGTGTTCTCTCCAGTAACCATAAGTGAACAGCGCTTTTAGTCCTTGCTGGCTCACAGAATAAAATGCTGGCCTCAATAATCAAACATAAGTCTCTCATGCAGTGATACAGAACAATAACCATAGTGCCACTCAATGCTTTCAAATATAAATGCATTTGTAATTTTGAAGTCTATACTTACATTCCATTAAATATTTGGGATCCCAGGGGTATATTATTTGTTCATTACAGCTGTGCATGGGACAGAAGTCCAGTTTTGCAAATGACTGTGAGATTTTGAAATCTGGCTTTGTTCCAAAATTGGAGTGAAAACCAAAAATTCTGAAATTCTCCATGAAGGAAAATCCCCCAAACAAACTCTTTCAGGTCAACTGAAAAGATTCATGTTGACAAAATCATTTTGTTTCATTTTAGACTTTATTTGTTTGTTTTGTATTATAATTAAAGCTAGTTGAATAAGTTATTTTTTTAATTTGCTGGCAGTTGTGTAAAAACTACTGGTTTAGGCTGAACTGAATCTGAATGATTTTTTTTTTAAATTTTCAGTGAATTGAAAAAGTCAACAAAACATCAATTTTGGGTCACACAAAATGTTTCATTCAACATGAGAGATTTTGCTTCTGAGCATTTTTAAAGACTAGATTCACAAAACAGCCAGAGAAGGAGCAGGAAGAGGTGGTTGACTTCCTTATAATCTTTAGCCCAATGGTTTGGGCAGTCACCTGTAAGCTGGGAGACCTAAATTCAAGTCCTGCCACCACATCCCAAGTGGGCCAAGGTTATAAGTGAGGCACCACCACCTGCTCTTGCTGCCATTTTGTGAATGGTGTCTTATCCCCTTGTAAATCTAACCCAAACAAGGATGGGGCTTTTTGGCTTAAACTACTCTGAAAATTTGTGTCAAATTCACAAATAGTTTTCCATTGACTGAAACTGCCTTTTTGGCAAATTAACTTCTTGTCCAAACATTTTTTGTCCAGCTCTAATTATAATACAAATTTTAAAAAAAATCTAAATT